ACCTCGATCTTTTGCCAGGCATATGCTCCTCGTCTCCCGCCGACTCCCCCTCCCCCTCCTCCATCCCGGAAGACAGCGAGCATACATCGCACGTGCTCCTACAAAAAGCTCTTCGTTTCAGTCCGTCGTCCATAACTCTCCCGTCGCGATCCGCAGTGAAGATGATGACAGACACGACGGAGGCAAGCCCACACGGCGGGCGTACCACCGGGCTCCGACACGTCGCCGTCCTCGCGACCAGCAGCCAAGAAGCCGCGCCTCAACTCGCCCGCCACGCCGCACGCAACGCCGGGCACCGCCTCCCCCCGCCTCAGAGCGAGCGACGCGACGCGCCGAAACGCGGGCCAAAGAAAACGGGGCCGACGAGGACGCAGAACGCAAGGCGCAGCATGGTGCGCTGCCCGAGTTCTGTTCGCACGATGACTGTGTGGCGCGAGATCAAGGAGGTTCTCGGGCGGAGTACGTCCGATGGGTGCGTCGAGGCGGGCACGGGGCGCGACTCGCGCCGCGGCGTATCATGCGGAGGTGGACGTGGAGGTGAAGGGATCTCGTCGTACAGGTGTGTCATATTAGCGCTCTCTGTATTGAGTTCTGCTGCTCACGGGCACCCGTGCCAGGTAGCGCGGTCGGGTCGTGCTTGGCTCCGCTGTCCCGTGGGCAGTGATCGTTCCTTTCTCTTTGCGGGCGAGATTGTGCGCGCCAAGATCTACCGCAACGCGAGATGCATTCGTTCGGTGACTTCAAGGAGGTGTTCAAGCCGACCTAGAGTGGAGAGACGACATTCGCGTGCAGTGCCAATTACTTCGCCAAGTGCGGGTGGGTGTCAGTATCAGGTGATTGCTCACTCTGGGAGAACTAAGCTCTGACGACTGATCTGTGCTAGATGCTGTCGTACGAAAGCAGCTTGAACTGAAGCGCGACGTGGTGGTCAAGGCGTACCAGAATTTCTCCGGTGAGTCTCCTCGTCGTCAATCTGCGTGAAGAATCTCACTCTTTCAAGGCCTCGAGCAGTCAACCCTGCCGACCATCGGAACGACCAATGCCATCACCCGAACAATACAACTATCGCACCAAACTGACACCTCATTTTGAGGCTCCGAACTCGAAGCGAGGAAAGAAGCAGGACAATCGTCCAAAGCGATACCGAACGGCCGGATTGGTTCAGGATCGTATTCAACGAGAGCGGATCGCAGAGGTGATTGACATTGAGGTGTGTTGGGTTGCTTTTTCCCTATGGGTTTCCGACAGGGTCGCAGGACTGCCCAATTGCAACTTCGGTCATCCGTGAAACATTGCCTGCGGTACGGGAAAAATGCTATCAAGTGACACATCATTTTTATGTTTTGTTACCACCAAGCTGACTTCCATCTCCTAGAAACTCTTCACCTACAAAAAGGGTGTTTCCCCTCATCCTGCGGGACTCGCTACCCTTGTCCCACGATAAGGACGCGGACCCCGAAACCCACATCTGCGTGACGGATCACAAAGGGACCGTGCGTGAAAAAGTGGGACCGGATATTCGAGTACCCCACGGGTCCCTCTTCCAAAACACAACGGCTAATGCTACCTTTCCTCACTGATTACGTTCAGACCCAGATTTTTCTCTGATGCCGGTTAAAACGTCCGACGCATCTGATCGATGCCTATTGTGGCTCAGGCCTCTTCGCGATCACCCTTTCCCCCCACTTTGAGCGAGTGGCGGCATCGAACTCTCCACGGAGTCGATCCGCGCCGCGACGCGAAACGCGCAACTCAACTCGCTCCCGTCGTCAAGATCTCCTTCCGCGCGGGGACGCCGGCGACATCTTTCAGGTGATCGGCGATTTCCCTCCAAGGACAGCGTGCTGCTGATCGACCCCGCCGCGCAGGGGCACGGACGAGTCGTTCATCAAGCAGATGCTGATGCTGCGCCCGCGGACGGTGTGTACGTGAGCTGCAATGTCCACACGCAGGCCCGCGATACGGGATGATGCTGCGCGGGTCCGAGGCGGATGGGAAGAGGCGATATGTTCTGGAGAGCTTGCGTGGATTTGATTTGTTCCCGCAGACGGCGCATGTGAGAGTGTCGCTGTGTTGAGACTAGCCCCAGCTGAGGAGTAGGTGTAACAGTCGATTCGATTGTTTAGCCTGGCATATTCGATCACACGCCGATGGACTGGTGAAAGGGTACTACGAGTCAGGAGGGGTGTGGAGCCAACGTCAGTCAGTCATTCGATCCCTCCTAGAATGTTGTCAGGGAGACTGTGTAGTTTCATCTGGCAGCATTCAAATTGCGGAATGCAGTGGTTGATGCAGTCCTGTTGGACATCAGAACTGCAAAGCCACGAGTGATTCCGCGGGCGGGGTTCCTTCCACACGTCGTGCGCCGGAGCTCAGGCATGAGACGATGAATGGAAACGTGTCCACGATGAAACTTGGTGACAATACGTGGTCCCCTGAAGCGTTGACCCGCGGATGAATTCCAAATTCGTTTCCACTGGATAAAAAACTCACTCTCTCTTTCGCTTTCGCTGTCCCCCGCTCCTCCCCCCCCCCGAAAGTTCCTCTCTTTCCGTCCACATGGCCTCCTTCGCCCCGTTCGTCTCCATCACCGCCAACTCGGGTATCCCAGTCAGCGTCCGGTACACCATCTCGAACCCGACCGCGCTCCACGACCCTCGAAAAGGATCGATCCGGGCCTGCCCACGGTCTTGTTCCTCCACCCTCTCTTCCTCGGCAGACCTGTTTTCACTGTGAGTTTGACGGTCAATCGCAGAGAGTTGATTGAGAATTGAACTGCGCAAGATCATTCGCCGACTGGAGACTACGGAAGTTCAATCTCGTCGCGCTTATCTGCGGGGACACGGATACAGCCGGGTGGTGGATGAGGACTACGATCTGTATGATGCGGTGAGGATGTCGTCAAGGTCATGGTACGGCTTTCATTTTTTGACCGGTTGAAACTGGAAACCAACTCGACGGATGGCTGTTCAGAAGCGTTGAGACTCCCTCCTTCCCCTCTCGTCGGCGTGAATTTGGGGCGTCGATTGGGCTCGAACTCGCGGCGACGCATCCACGGCTTGCTCTGTCGCTGACATGTATATCTCCTTCCTCATGGCGACTCAAGTGTGCTGCGCTGGCTCGATCGCAGTTGAAATAAGACTGATGCGCTTCACAGAGAGACGATTTGGTTATTCAAGAGATAGAAGACATCTACGAATGCTTAGAAGGCGGCTTGTCAAAACGCAGGAACCAGTCGGCTCTGCAGCGCGCAGCTTGCGGCATGCTACAACTGGGGGTAACGATCTCGAATCTCCGTTGCTGGACACGTGGCGTAGTACTTGCCCCCTCGCCTGTGAAATCTGGAATGACTTTGTGCTCCTTTGCAGATTAGTGAACTTGAGCATAACGACGGCTGCGAACTCGTGGGCAGGGAGAGTCAAAGAGCTCTCCCGCGCTACTGTGCGTTTGTTCGCTAGTGACGTCCGTGTCCTCGGTCGATGCTCCGAGGGATCAGGTGCCCAGTATCCCTCGTGCGCAGTGGAGCAGATGTATGATATGTTCAAGAATCTGTGGACGAGACATACGAGACGTTTGCAATCTCAGGGCACGCTGGTCAGGACGTATGACTTGCCTGATGCGCCCCAGTGGGCGCATCTCAGCCACCATCCCGAGTGCGTTTTGTCCTCCGTTTTTTTTCATGGAAAGGTGCTAATCCAGTGGCTGTTTGGTAGAGTCAATCAACTGATACATGATATCGTCGTCGAATTCGCCGCGGGAGGGTACCCGTCGGGAGCCTCTTGCAAAGCAAGCCGTTTCCGGTGGAATCTCCTTTTGAATACGTGTTGGTGGGGATCCAGATTCGGATTCGGACGACGAGGATTGCTCGGAGTGAGATGAAAGCTTCATTGGTGAGCTGCGTGCATGAGTGGTGGAAGCCCAGACCATACTTTAATCCGCGTCTCATAATCCTTACCCTATCGCAAACTAATATTCAAATACCATCGGATGGATGACACCGACCCTGTCCTGAGAAACAACTCGATTTTCTGATGCGCCGATGCTCTCATTGAGGCCAGTGCCTGGCCGATGTCCCAATTGTTCGTAGCTCGGTGGGAGTAAGCTTCTCTCCAGGGCTTCTGCCTATCTGCACAAAACCCAAAACACTCATCATAGGGATGTGCTATCTTCCCAAGCTCACTCATTTTACAAAATTGAAGACGGCCGGGGAAGGCCCTGAAGCGTAAATCGTCAAGCAGATGATTGTTTCGATGATAATTTCCCACCCGACCTTGACCGTCCGGTGTACGCTTCAACGGGATATCATCGTAGCTGGGCCTCGTTTGAGAAGGAAACAGGTTCATAATATAGGTTCAGACGAGTCTCCTGCAAGTGTTCGGAGCCATCTACTAAAGGGTCTTTGAGTAGGGAAGAAAATGTTAATCCGTCACGTGATTCTTTTGCTCTGGTTTGTGGCTGTATACGTTCTACCCCTAAGGTATGCCGCATGAGGATCCAGGGACCCTTAGTAAGCAGTGCGTGACAGTCCGTGACGTTCAAATTCACAGTCCGAAAAACGTAGCCCTTTTTTCGGTGTCATTATGGACATGTATGCACCCAATGTGATCCAAAATGGGTGTCCGAAGGATAATTGCATTTCTTTACGGCTACTATGACTATAGAAGGGGATCTCAACGCCGGCAGCACCGCCACTTCCTAATTGGGACGTCACGTGAATGGTCAATCTTCCGACCCAAATTTAAAGATGCTCAGTTTCAGTTGGAAATCACTTTCTACAATAAAGAAAACTTTTGATGCAGAATTCTTGAACCTCACATCACGCTCTCCCAGGAGGCAAAATAAAAAATTCTACTCACATAGCAGGTGTGCTAAGGCCTCCAGAAACACCCCATGTGAGTACTTTACTATATTCCCTCCGTGCCGTCGTCATCTTCCGTCGCTGTTTGTCACAGTGTGACGCTTACAAGGGTCCCTGGATCCTAATGCGGCATACCTTATCACGTCTTCTGCCTTGATTGACTATGGACTGCGGCTTGTGTCGGGACCAGACAATGCTCGCGTCACAAGATACGAGCCTGAAACACTCATGGGCGAGGCACTCCTCGAACGGCCTGATATCGTTCGCAGTCATTTCAGAATTCAGTGTTTTTCTCGGATTCTATAAGTTTCGACCCCTTGGACTACGCTCATCTCAACGATCAGCAACCCTCACTTTCTGTTTTACGTCTCGTGGCGATGCAGTTTCGCTGCGGTCAGAAGATTCTTATCAATGTTGTCCTCCCGGGGGCTTTATGATGCCACTGGTTTATGCACTTATAACGAAACTATCGGACTTGCAGCTACTCGAGAACACTGACAACGAATCCTTCGATGCGAATCCCATTCTTTCCTGATTGTCGTGAAGCATTCATGCACAATCATGATCATCCATTGTTCGACGTCAAACGCGGTAGCCTGGCAGCGTCGGATGGCAGGGACAGAAGCGCATGGATGCGGACAAGGTACGGCCCGTGTTCCTTTGCTTCGTTCTGCTTCGAATCCTGCTCGCCGCTCTTTGCTTTCTCCTTTTTTGGTCTATCTATTTCTTTCCGCCCTCACCCGCCGCGCGCGATGCAGGGTCGCTCTTTTCTTTCGTTTTCTGGATCGCTGGGTCGCCTACTGTCTTGGGGGGCTTGGCTGCCGCTGCTGGAGCCAAAGTAGTACCAGTTCTACAGCCGGTGCGTCCCGTTTGCTGAGCTTTCCGAATACCAAAAATCATGGCTGTTCATCTCGCAGGGATTCTTCTTCGACTACACCCCTCCCCCAGTCGCCGCTTATACCGATCACGCGTAAGTTCTGAGCTGAGATCGCCACTGGAATAGTGTGCTAAGAGGCATCTAGAACAGTGTGAGACTATACATTTGAAGTGGGGACGAAGTGCGTTTTCCTTCATAGACCCTCGTCCTCGACAGGCACTCATACATCCACCAGACGGTGCACCGGGGTAACTAGCCGTCCGCAAGCCTTGATCTCAGCTGACCTAGAATGAAAGACCCAATCCGGTGGCACCTTACTCGATGGTGGTGTTTACCTCGTGGTTGTGTCTTACGCCGGAACCTCGATTTCAATCTGTGCGACAGGAAATCCATCACACCTTTCACAATCGACGCCGGGAACGGCTTGTCGTTTGTACGCTTGGCTCTCTGCTCTGGTCGACATCTTTACTCAAGATATGTAGGACTGGCAGTTCCATTTAGTCCGGGAACTCAGGTGCGTTCGATGGCTGCGGAGGGATAAAAATCCCCGCATCTGATGAGACTGCTCGGCTAAATTCTGGCAGTATCAGATCTGCATGGTGCGTTATCGTGCCGTGTTTCATGCTCAATTAATTATCAATGGCTCAAACCTCTCAAGTGGGACAGCAACGGGACACCCGGAGGTTGCGAACTATGTATACTGTCATTCAGAATTCCACGGTCGCAACGCCTCAGTAAGTTGATTTCTGGCGCGGAGTTTCTTAGATGATTGGTGATTGCTGAGGTGTCACCATAGATGCCACAATGTCACCTTTCCACTCTTCTGCAGGTCGAAACACAGCAGACTGCTGCTCCAGGGTCCTATCTCTCAATTTGGATTCATTGATCAGGTTCGGCCAGAGAAACAGTCTCATCTTGCGCGAACTAAAAGTCAACTCCAGTGTACCGATATTCTTGTGACACCAAAAATCTGGGAACCGCCATTTACGTTTTCAGTAAATTGACGCTCTCACTCGGAGGTTGGCTGTTCTGATGTAATTGTAAGGTATATCCGCCTTTACATCCTGCTTTCAACATCACTTCCAACTCCATGGATACCATCGACTGGACGATCTCACTGGTGAATTTGATTATTAAAGTCGATGTAGGAGATTGATGGTTTGCTCCCATAGCCCTGGTCTTATCCTTTCTTCATTTCTCTTTCGAGCGCTGATGGACAAATGTGGTCTAATGGACCTCTCCATGCCGGAGGATTCGGACCGACGGATTGCTGTGAGTGTTAATTTGCCTTAGATGTCTTCGTCTCATCTCCATCTAGTGGCTCCGAATACCATGTGAGATTGTTTTTTCTTTTCGTGCGCAACCAATCTGACCTACACACCCTCAAGGCCGATTGGAAAAGCCCAATCGATTGCAGCTGCAGCCGGATTCGGCGGTGCCCTGGGAGCATTTGCCCTCGGGGGTGTCGTCGCCTTCCTCTATCTGCGCTACCGCCGTCTCCCGCCACCGCAGATCGACGCGTTTGTCCACGACTCGGTCACCTCCCGCAGCGATTTCAGCGGCGCGTCGCGGAACAGGTCGGACTCGCATACCACGATGAGCAGCCTCGGCGCTTCTTCGGATATCCGGCGTGGCCGGACGTATGTGCTGCACCACGACGCCGGCCGGGCACCCGTCACGGTGATCACCGACTCGGAGGAGGTCGTCGAGCTCCCGCCGAGATACCACAATGGGTGGTTCCTGGTAGTAGAGGCTCGGATGTCGCGGGTGGGAGCGCAGACGGGTTACCGATGCGCGACAAACCCCATCCGCCCCTTCCCGTGACCCCCTCGACATCGGTCAACTCGGGTTCATTTTTGTCGGCTTCATATTTGGGACCGCCGTGACAGATTGCGGCAAGGCCTGAGGCCTTGGGTTGAAGAACATACTTTTATCTATTTGAGTAGACGAGTGAATTCACAGAAAGTCTGGGTCTGCTGCATACGTGAATTGGAATTCAAATTCGGTCTCCCTCTCCAGGTTCTGCATCCGCTCCAGCAACTCAGTCGACAAAGCCCCCAGACTTTCTGGCAGGTGAAATACCTTCAGATCAAAGTCGCCTGTGGTTTCGGCCTGTACAGGTCTCCGTACCCGGCCGAGAACGAGCTGCTCCAAGCTTTGTTCGGAAAAGACGATGTGGGATGTCAGACAGAGAAAAGTCAAGCGCGGCACGAGGTCTACCACCACCAACCCGACCAGAAGATCATCCGTGATGAAAAAGTCGTCCAGGTCGTCATTTCCCTCCGAGAGCAACAGATCCTCCAAAAGAGGCAAATTTTGGAGACATTCGAGCAGCTCATCAGCTGTGATCAGGACTCGGGAAACCTCCAGGAAACGCAGGCTGGATCCGAGCTTCGACCTGAAAATGAAAGGCAGGAGCGCATCACGATCCCACCATATCGCATACGCAGGGTCTTCGAAACGGCCTTTGACAGCAAGAGAACGGAGACCGGGGATGTGAGAGCATGGAGCACGCGTTCCATGCAGCTGACACCGCCGGATATCACCAATGTCAGGCCCTGCAGCACATCGGATAAGACGTGATGCCCGAGCCGAGGAATTTCCCCGACATGGATGATATCCGGGACGTCAACCATCAAACACACGAACGGAATGGGCAGCCGTGTCAGGAAGGCAAGTGCGTCACTGGTCAGCTTTTTATAGTCCAATGTCCATTTGAAGAGTTTGAGCTGCGGCCATGGAACATCTGTAATACGGTCGCAGGGAGCCGTTGCATAGAACCGGGTGAGACTAGGGCTGCGGCAAACAGGCTGCGGTACTCCGCGTCCCAATCTTGCTCCTCCCACTGGGTTGCGATCTCCAAAAACCGCAGCAGCGGAATATTGCCCTTGACAGGGAGAAGTAATCGGAAGGGATCGTAATCGCTGTAGACGTCAGTCCACAGTGTGAAATGCGTCCAGCGCCGGGAATGAGCTGTCAGCAGGTTCATCACATCAACGTCCACCAGGGTGTTCGACACAGCGATTTCAACGCGGATCGGGTGGTTACCGCTTTTCCGGACGAGGGCAGTAAGGGCCGCCGCTCAGCGCCCGGTCCCAGGCCACAGGGTGGTGTCCACGATCAGCACCCTCCATAAGGACGGTGTATTCAAGGTGAGAGTATGCCACAGCGAGCATACCTAGAATTCAAATCAGGATCTTTCGCGGCGCGTGGTGGAGCTGAAAGGCCGCACCTGGGAAAATTGTATCAAATAGTTCTTTGAGAGCCGCTCCTTCTCCTGCTCAGCTGTGGTTTCGTCTGAAAGGTCCTCGATGGGTGCGCATAAGTCGAATATCTCGGTCCAGATTTCAGTTGGAACGCGCTGGGGCGGAAAGAGAGAGATGTCGTGAGAGTTCATTGAGCGTGAGTGATATGCTTGAGTTAGATCTCAAGTGCAAGTCACCGAGCTTCACTACTGATGGTGGCCGCACAGCCACCTCACTTCTTTTCTACCTCCGATTCGCCTGGGCACCAAGTTTCATTCCACCTATTTGTTCGGCTGCACAGGGCAACAGCTTACTGCCCATTTCATATTCTGACAGTGAGTTTTACTGCTTCGAGTCCTGATTACATCTAACAACCTTCCACAGTCGCTATTCAATATTATACACGGCATAATCAACTACGAGTACTCGCGTCCTATCCTTAATAAACGTTTCGATAATGGTCAGCTCGGGCTCTTCACTCCAAAACTTAGTTAACGACTCCTATGTCCCCGGAATCTCCAGTCGACTCAATATACACGTGTCCCTGAAGACGAGCATGACGACTCGCAAATCCCGGAGTCACCCATCCGCAGTACACCCCGCGTTCTCCAGCCCGGCCTCACGCTGCATACGGACTCCAGCTACACATACAGCTACGGACCGCCCGGACTCGCAGGCCTCTGGGCAAACGGTTTCGTCCTTATATGCGCGGTGTTCGCGTCGATAGGCGGCATGAGCTTCGGGTACGACCAGGGCGTGGTGAGCAGCACAACCACCGTCTTCCCGCCAGTGCGCATGAATGTACGCGGGGACTCATGTGTGCCAGATAGCTAATGTCCTCGTGATGGATGATTTCGTGAGACGGTGGCCCGTAACCCCATTACAGAAGGGCGCGCTCAGTACGCACCAGACAGTCTTGCATGGCCTGTGGCTCATCCATCTACCTCATGTCAGCTGCGGTCTTGGAATTCGGGGCACTCGTGGGCGCGCTAGCATCAGGTGTATTGGCCGACAAGTACTCTCGGAGGCACTCCATCTTCGCGGCATGTGGTGCGTGTTCTCTTCGCGACCCACCATCAACCTTCCAATGATCAGATTCTAGTGGTTTTCACCATCGGGTCCCTGTTTCAATGCCTCGCTCAGACCATCGTGCACCTCTTCATCGGCCGCGCAGTCGGTGGCATCGGGGTCGGCGCTCTCAGCATGTTGTCCCCGTTATACATCTCCGAAATCAGCCCGCCCGAAGTCCGCGGCACGCTCATTGCCCTAGAGCAGTTTTCCATCGTGTTGGGTGTGGTCGTCGGGTTCTGGATTGGGTTCTTTACGCGGAACAGTGGGTGCTCAGCTCGTCATCCCAACGTCCGTTCGGCTAACTAGATCTTCCAAGTCCCTAGTTCGGCGTCATGGCGGATTCCCTTGGCCGTTCAGATCATCCCTGGCTTACTTCTCGCGTTTGGCGCCATCGTCCTTCTGCCTCCTTCTCCGAGGCTGCTCGTTCTCAAAGGCCGATATGAGGACGCGGAGGCTAGCTTGATCAAGCTACGTGGACGGGATGACGATTTGACCAGGGTGAGGGCACGCTCCGAGGATGTCACCCCCGTGCTGAATCTTCGCAGCTCGAGATGCTCGAAATGCGTGTCGAAGCGACATTGATCAACGAAGCAGACGGGAAGCACTCGAAGCGGAACGAGTTATCTTCCTGGGGTCGGCTGTTGAGCAAGAAGTACCGGGCAAGGACGTTGATCGGCGTGTTGATGATGGTCTTCCAGCAGTGGAGTGGCATCAATGCCCTCGTGTACTATGGGCCCACGCTCGTCAAGAGTTTCGGTCTCAAAGGCGACACGGTGGGGCTCATTGTGTCTGGCGGCATTGGAATCGTCCAGTTTCTTGCTGTGGGACCCGCTATAGTGTATATCGATCGACTGGGTGAGTGGGCGTCGAAGACGTGATCCCTGCGTGCTTACTTCTTGCAGGCCGGAAGCCTTTACTGCGAGGTGAAATGGCGCCATACTACCTCCACACATCGACTAACCGCATCATGTGCAGGTGGTAGTACTGTTATGACGCTCTCGCACCTGACCATCGCCCTCCTTGTGTACCAATTCCAGTCCGACTGGGCTTCTCACCCATCCGCGGCTTGGGTCGCCGTCGCTGGGGTCTACACATTCACGTTTGCTTACGGAGTGTCCTTTGGCCCGATCGGATGGGTGCTGCCGAGCGAGGTGTTTCCGCTGTCTGTCAGAGGCCGCGGTGTGGCGCTTTCCACGGCCTCAAATTGGATCAACAACTGTATGTATCCAATACGCTCTTCATTGTTTGAAATTGAGCGCATGCATGCATAGTCTTCATTGGCCTGGTGACGCCGGTGATGATGGACATCTCTCCCTCGTGGGTGTGCGCTGGTAAACGCCTGCTGCCCGCTCAATTGCGTGATATAGGGCCACATTCTTAACCTTTGCCTCGGCATGCTTCGCTGCGTATCTTTGGTCAACCTACGGAATACCTGAAACAGCCGGGGTTGCTTTGGAGGACATGGATCGGGTGTTTGGAACGGATGCTGGTCGCGAAGATGCTGCCAGGCGCAGGCAGGTGCGCGGCTGCGTTTGTCGTTTGCTCATGCTTCACTTCATTAACCATGCGGATAGCTTGAGGAGGAGCTTGGGCTGCGAGCTTTGCTCGCGGAGAGTGCCGCTTCGTAGGGCTTCGTACGTCTGTGGCTTTCTTTCGGTTTATCATATGTGCTTTCGGGACTCGGACCACCGATACTATCGCCTCGCATGGGCCGCTATCCTCCGTCTGCACTGCAAGAACGGCGTTCCTGGCAGCATCTCCATCCTAGCCGGAAATAGCTTTAATCTAAGTTTAGGCTAGAACTCGCCCGGCTAGAAGCCGTCCGAAGCTCTTCGGGTGACAGGTACCGGGCAGGATTCATAATATACATATGCTGTCCTCCGGGCTGCGTTCTTTCTCCCTTCCATCGGCTTCTTCTCACCGTCCAGACGCCCGTTTACTGCTCCTTCCTTCCAGCCATGTGTCGCAGCCTCCAGCTCTGGTACGGCCGCTCCGTTCTTTCACTCTCTTCACTGACCATCCTCGCTTTTCAGTTTTACTGCTCTTCTCGCCGCCTCGGTGGCCGCAGCCCTCAGTGTGCAAGCGCCAACCGCGGTCGCCTCAACTCAGATGACGAATATAACGTGGACCCCCGACCAGCCCTGCACCCCTTTCTCGGTTGAGCTCGTCCACAAAGCTTTCGTACGTAGCCAGGTTTCAATGCAACCTGTCTGACGTCGCCCAGCACGACACGTTTGCCATCGCCAACAACGTCAACTGCACCCTTGGCCAAATCTCTGTCGTGATCCCGGATGTTCCTTCAGCGTAAGGAGTCTCGATAGTGCCTCTCTCCCTCTCTGAATTGTGCGCCGCAGATCAGACTATAGTCTCGAGTTCGTCAATGTCACGGACATCAATGATGTCTTCGCGACCAGCCCTGGCTTCTCGATAGCCCCGGCACCCAGCACCTCAAGTGCTCCCCAATCGAGCACTGCTTCTGTGCAGAGTGATAGCGGGCTGGCTGGAAGTGCTACCTCGTGCGTCTCCAGTGCTCGCTCTATATCGTCTAGCGTGTCTAACGAGGCCCCCACAGAACGACGCCGGCGAACGCGACTCCCTCGTCCCCAGCAGCAAGTGCTGCTTCCGTATCGGGATCGGTGGCCTCAGTGGCGAGTTCCGCTGCTTCCAGTGCGGCCAGCGCAGCTTCGTCAAATGCTGCAGTCGGTCGTGCACCAGGCACTGCAGGAGCAGCGCTCGCTGTTTCTGTGGGACTTCTCGCTGGCCTTTGGGTGTAGGGCGCATGACTGTTCTATGAAGCTACTGCTCCGACGTTGGACATGACTCGTTACTCTACTTCCCCATAGTGTGGTATGCAGTCCTCCACACACATTTATGTGATATTTTCCTGGCGTGCACGCACGTGTGTCGTGTTGCTGACAATGGCAGTGCCAATGCTCTCCATTTCACAAGAGGAACCCGCTTTTGGCTGTCAACGTTGGATAAACTAGATTAGAGTCCCCCTTCCTTTCATTCCACTCCGACCGCCCGCTACGACAACGTAGAGAGTTGTATAAGACCGAGGGATGCTGACTGAAACGACACCCCTCCTCCCGTCCCTCGCCACGGCCGTCTCCGTCGTCCGCGAGCGTAAGGCTCGTTTCGAATGGCTCGCACCGCTGCTCCTCATTACCGGTCTCGCGCGCGGCATGTCGATGTATGCACGATTCGAGGGGTACCAGCACTCGATATGCCCCGGTGCGCATCAAATGCCTACTCCCCGCCATCAGCTCATGTAACATCACTTGCAGCCGAACCGCCATGGTCGCCCTGCGGCTCTTTCACGACATGGCTGGCGCTGCCCACCACATTCACGTACTCGCATGCTAACGCTGAGTATCTGCGCGTTTACTTCGACCTCTGGGCGTCGTTCGCGTCGTTCGTCGTGTCGTTCCTGACGATCGGGTTTTGGAGCGGGCTCGGTGACAAGCGGGGGAGGCGGATTCCGCTTCTTGGGGCCCTGTGTGGGCTGGTTCTTGGGTGCGTGCTTCTCGCTGTGAATGGTGCTGTACAAAGTCTGAAGATTATTCCTGTTCAGGGACCTCGTGCACATTCTTCTTTCCTGGATACACATTGCACCCACTGATGCGGGTGACATAATGTCTGTGGGGATCATGCTCGAGGGTGCGGTGGGCGGTGGATATCTGGGATACTTTGCTGCAGCGCGTGCGTGAGTCGTCGACCGCTCCTGATTGTAGGCTTTTATTTCTGATCTGGGTCGCAGATACGCCTTCGATGTCGCTGAAACACCCATATCTCGTGTGACGCTTTTCGGGCTGAACGATGCGCTGGGGCTGGCCGGGTTCTTCTTCGGCGCCATTCTCGGACATCTCGCAGGCTGGCGGATTGCCTACATCATCTCTGCCTCTCTAGGGCTCGTCTCGCTCGCTTACGCGTTCTTGGTGCTCCCAGAATCGCTCCCCGTCTCGAGCTCCCCCGCTTCCTCGTCACTTCCCGTTGCCGGCACAGCGATGCCACGCCGTCGTCGGCGTGCTTCTCCACTTATATCCATTGTACGGCCGATTACGACGTTCTTAGGAAATGGGGTCACCAAGATGTATCTGCCGA